ACTGTTGGAATGAGAAGATTAGGAGCACTGCATTCCCAACTTTGTGTACTGTTGCTTTAGATAGATCCCTCTCTGTTAAACAAATGTGTTCTGTTCCTCTTGAAGATTGTTTCTTGCTGCCCCTGAGCACTCAAGCTAATGGAGAATTCATCATTCTGTTAACAACCGAATTTGGTAACATCAGCGTCGGAGGTGAAGATGGGATCAAAGCGGAGTCGGAGATAAGGATTGTTGCAGCAACAGAGTAAGAATCGGCTGGAGTCCAAATCGGCTACGACTAGAATCGGCTAAATCTGAATGAGACTGGGTTAGGTGATACAACCGATTCCGGCAATACGACTTGGTGTACAACATCGGGTTGAGTCGATATGCTTCAAGATGATTGCCGCACTTGGATAGAGTCCTGAGAAGGCAATTGTGTTTTCTGTGCAGGTCCACTTGCCTTCTCAGGACTCTATCCAAGTGCGGCAATCATCTTGAAGCATATCGACTCAACCCGATGCTGTACACCAAGTCGTATTGCCGGGTGGGATCTCCCAGGCCTCGTGTTTTCTGTCAACACGCTTTTGGCACGCCTGGTGGGACAACTAAGAAATTAGCCAACAATCCTCCCTCATGGCCGAAAAACCACCACCACCACCATTTAGCCCAGGCTCTGTTAAGGAAAAGATGCTAAAGTTGGGATTGACTGACGTCAATGAAGGAAACGTCGTGCCGATCGATCCAGAAAAATTCACACCTGAGCAGAAGAAAGAGTTTGAAGCAATATTGCAGCAAGCACAGGATCAGTTCTTGAACTCATTCATGCAGACCCACAAGGGGACAATTGTTCAGAAGTACAAAAAAAAATTGTTGCTTATGATCTTGGAACCAGTTCTTCTAAGGATAGAGATAGGAAACAAGCTCTAGATGGCTCAGCTCAGTCGAGTATCAAAGGTGCTACCGATGGCTCTCTAGGAAATCAAGGCAACAATTCTCAAGGGGTCCATGGAGGACAAGGTGACGGGGTGCATGGAGTTCAAGGTGACGGTGCTCAGGGGCTGTAGCGAGGAAATCTTAATAGTGACGTGGCACAGGACTTTTTCAATAACTTCCAAGATCGGGTTGATTACGCTGTACATCATGCTTTGATCAATCAGTCTGGGGTGTTAGTCAATACCCTGTCAAACATGATGAAGTCAATAGCCGATGGTTCAATAGCTGAACATCAGGCTGCAGGCCTGGTCTATTTGCAAGGAGGTGTTTTTCCAAATTATCAGTCTTTGATTACCGACGTTCAGTCATCTACTCAGCCAGTTCCCTCCGTTACACCCACAACTTAGCCGACGGCACCGGCATCAACTCCCCTACCTGCTACATCAGCTATAGCGCCAGGCCAGCCAATGAACCCTCGGCTATTAATGAGAGAGCATCCACAGCATAGTGGGCAGGTTGCGAATCGGCCAACCCAAGGTCAAGTTGCTGCAATGTTTTTGCCGCCTCAACATGCGGTTGATCTAATACAGCAACAGCCGATTCAGCAACAGTCGATTCAGCAGACACCCCAAATTCAGCAGGTTGTGCAACCAATCCAGCAACAGATCATGCAACCAGCACAACCAATCCAGCAACTGGTCATACAACCAGTTCAGCAAACACCACCAAGGCAGCAGTCTCTGCAGCCGATTCAGCAAACGACGTTGAAACAGCAGATCGTCCAGCCGATCCAGCACCAAGGTTCAGTGAGCGCATCGGCCGGGTTTGTAGCGCCTGGTGGTCAGCCTGTACAACAACTTTTAAACCAAGTTGTCCCAGAACATTTGGTTCACCACGTACAGCTGGATAGCACAGTAATGCCTCAGGTTGTTCCTGAGCACTTGCTGCGTAATATCCAGCCAGACCCTCACAATTACTAAGGGGGCAACCTGAGTTATCAATATCAACCTCCTTCCCCGCAAGCCCAATATCGGCCAGGGGGATTGGCTCAACCTCAGTTTGCATCCCAATACGGTCAGTTCGAGCCCATGCAGCGACAGTCACAAGGCGCAACTCAGCAACGACCGTGGGCCGATGTAATTGCTGACGTAATGAGGGAACAGTTTGGGCTTAAACCAAAAGAGACTAGAAACTTGTATCGGCAGCCTTACCCTGAGTGGTTTGAAAGAGTTCCTCCTCCCAATCGGTTCAAAGTTCTGGACTTCTTCAAATTTTCAGGACAAGATGGTGTGTCGACTTATGAGCACATTAGCCAATTCCTGGCTCAGTGTGGTGAAGCATCGGCGGTAGACGCTCTGAAAGTTAGGTTATTCCAGTTATCTCTGTCTGAATCGGCTTTTACTTGGTTTTCCTCCTTGCCATATGGTTTGATCAACAGTTGGGCCGATTTGGAGAAGCAATTCCACAGCTATTTCTACAGTGGGGTTCATGAGATGAAGTTATCTGACTTGACGGCGATTAAGCAGCGGCATGATAAACCTGTGCACGAGTATATTCAGAGATTCAGGGAGATAAGGAACAAATGCTTCAGCTTGAGTTTAACTGATGCCCAGTTAGCCGATTTGGCCTTTCAGGGTATGATTGCTCCGATTAGGGAGAAGTTCTCGTCTGAAGACTTTGATAGCATTATAGCCGATGACGGGGGGAGATGGCCCACCTCCGTTGGGGATCAGTCCTGGGGCATACTTGATATCCCTGCCGCTGTTGCTTTGGTGAGGGGGAGAAGATTCTGTTGTCTGCAAATCAGGAGGAAAGTTAGCTAAGGGCTAATCAACCAAGTAGTTATTCAAATAAAATCAAGTGAGTTAGGACTTACTTGGGGGACAATATCTGGAAAGAGATCTATCATATACATAGAAGCCAATTGATGGAATAAGTGTAGCTTCCATTCACCCCACCATCTGTCAAATACTTTGCTCCTAAAGGTTGCCAGCTTTATGGTGTCAATGCTGCCTAGAGGAGGTCCTTGGAGATTGAGCAGCCGATCCATCATTAAAGATGATGAGATTTCTCCTCGGCATTGGATCTTATCGGCAAAGAATAAGCCGATTGGGAGTTGGCCCATTCCAAATTGTCTCGCAGAACTCATTGGATGATAAAACTCGTAGGAAACTTGGATGTTTCTCCCTTGATGAATGCCGACTGGAAGGATGCATGGGGTGATTGCAGATAAGAAGATTTCTCTGGGCTTCTGATATCTGTCATTGTTGATGTCTTCGAATCTGAAGTCCCATGGATTTTCCAGAAGTGTTGAGTCCCATGGACGGCCGTCCGATCAAATGGACGGCCAAGATTTCGCCTTCACCGCTGAAATTGCTGCACGAGTCAAACCCTAACCCTAATCCCCATTTCTCATTTCATCTTCCTCCCTTTTCCTCGTTCTCTTCTCCGGCGAGCCAGAGTGCGAGTAAGAGCGAAGCAATACGGCGGGAATGGCAATACGGCGGTCCGGCGAAGCAAGAGCACGCAAGGGGCGTCGAGCGCCGAGCGGCTCCGGACCTTGCCGGCTGGGGGGCGGAGCACATGGCAGCGCCAAGCCGTGTTGCTTTTGCTTCCCGTCCCCGACAGCAAGCGGCGGTGACGGTCCAGCGAGCAGCGCGCGTACGAGCAGAAGGGACTCCGCCAGGCGCCCCGTGCTCGTCGGCTAGGGGGGCGCGCCCGAGGGCGGCGCCAAGCCGATGCTTCCCGTTCCCGGCGAGGGACGGTGACGAGGTCCTCCAAGACGACGCGGATGCGACGGCGAGGAGGTGAAGGAGCGGCGGCGCCGCTTCCCGGAGGGCTCCGACGAGCTTAGGATTTCGAATCCGGTAAATAACCCAAACTCGAATTAATTGGCTTGCCAAGATTTGGAATTTTGGTTCTTTAGGGTTCTTCTCAATTTTGGGGATTTCGGGTGGATTAATACAATCCGGCTTATCTAGAGTTCTACACCCGAAATTAGGGTTCTTAGCTTCGAGATTTTAGGCCGATTTGATCGGGCTGATTGGGTATTTTTGGGAAATTAGGGTTTCGCAAAACCGTGGCTTAATTCCCTCTTGCTTAACAGTGGGGAATTTCAATCTAGTTTATCCCCACCTTCTTGATTGCTAAGTGCTTCCCGAAACCATAGCTTTGGTCTAGGAAAATCTAAATGCGAGAATTGGGAATTTCAATCTTGTTTATCCCAATCCTTTTCTTCTCTTAAAAACAATGAAATTAAACTCTTCAATAATTTTGCTTCTTCTACTGTTGGCCGAGACCAACAGTATAACAGGGCTTAGCCAATTATGCAACCAAGGCAAAGAGATTAATCTAGTCTAATTAACTCAAAATTGCATCATGCCGAATAGCAATTAGGGTTTAATTGGCATAATGGCTTCACTTAAGGATGATGGGATCAAGAAGGCTAAGATTAGGCTCTGATACCACAATGTTGGAATTTAATCCAACTAATTAATTGAGTCTTAGCCTAAACATAATACCTTATGCTTATGCGGAAATTAATTGATCACTGACCTGAGATGAAGCCATTGCTCTTCTTCTTTCTTCTCCTTTGTTTCTTCTGTTGTGAGATACCTCACGAACCCCTTCCAGTGTCTAATCGATCGGGCGATTGATTTAGGGTTTAGGGTTGGAGAGAGTTGAGTTGTCACCCATCCTCCCTCCTTCTCTTTTTTTATATAGCGACACTGGTGGGGCTCGGGGGTTTATCTCAATCTAAATTTGAATCTATTTTGTACCGATCACACAAAACAGATTTATCTCTTAGTTTGTTTCTTGTTAGGATAGGAAAATCGGTGGAATTTTAACCTTATTCTAACAAACCGGCATTAGCCGATAAAATCAACCAACATATCAATTAGATGGTCTACTTGATCCCTGAGTCTGTCCAGCAACCAGAAGACAAACATTTTATAGGCTGTGTTTAGATCCAAACTTCCAACTTTTTTCATCACATCAATCTGTCATACACACAACTTTTCAGTTACATCGTACCAATTTCAACCCAAACTTCCAACTTTGGAAGGAACTAAACACAGCCATAGTTGTTGCAAATTGCAATCCACTTTTGACAGCGGGATGCCTAACTTGGCACAACCCACATGGTCACAGAGCTTGGCTTTATTATTGTTGTTATTATTTGAAATTAGTATTATATCCGATAGAACACTTGTGGCCGTACTATAAGAGGAAGCTTTCAATCCGTAGTAGTCCGTACTTTCGTCGAGAGGACCTACAGTTTTGCTAGAACGCAATCATCAGGTACCACGTTTGCTTTTGCGTCGGCAACAGCTCCGGCAGTGAGCCCCTTGTTCACCTCCTGTATTAGCCTCTCTATCACTGGATTCGGCAACCTTATGGGCACAATGACGCCTGCCTCACCAACCTCATTCCTCCCCTCAAGGTGAAACGTGGCCAGCATTGTCGTCGCCGGCCCTCCATACACCGGCTTTCCCCAGCCGAAGTCGATGGCCATCAGCCCGGCCTGTGTCATGTCCGAGATGAGGTACGTCCTGGCCTTAGGGAACGGCGGCCTCCGGTGAGCCGCGTTGAAGTTGGCCACCGACTGCACATACCCCTCCTCCGACGCACGCGCCTTGGCCTGCATGAGCAGCCGCAGCGCGTAGCCGAAGGGCCTCCGCCAAAGCTCCCCCGCCGGCACGGACGCGGCAGCGAACACAATCGCGTTGCCGTAGTAGCCCCTCGGCACGGGCCGCTTGCTCCGGTTCCTGACGCGGGCGTTCACGAACATGTGCAGGCGGACGACGTCTCCCGGGTCGTACCGCAGCGCGGCGGTGCGGCAGCGCCACATGAACGCTCCCACCAGGTCGAACCGGGAGCTGACGGCGCGCAGGTCGGGCGGCGCCTGCGACCTGAGCGCCGCGATCTCACTCGCCCCAAAGAAGAAGACGTGGTGTGCGTACGCGTCAGTGGGGGAGAGCACGTCCTTGCCGGGGTTGGGCAGGGGTGTGTACTCCACGTGGTCGCGCGTGACGGTCGGCGGCCATCGGGCGGTGAGCACCTCGCGCTCCCACACCGGGCGCACCGTCGGGGCTCCGTGCACGCCACGGGCGAACTCGGTCAGTGCAGTCAGAAACTGCACTATCCCAGAGCCGTCCGCCATGCAATGGCATATGTGCATCCCGAACACGAAGCCGCCGCACGCCAGCCGCGTCACCTGTGTCGTCCGAATGCATGTAATAACCATCATTTGTTATTAGACGTAGTACGTACCATGCATGAATTTTACTACTTCACTGTAAAATGATTTGCATGCTAATAACCTGAATAAACAGCAAAGGACGGTCAACTACATCTGCCGTCGGGCTCTCCGGCTCGCACAGCAACATGTCATAGCACGGCACCGGCGGCGCCAGCGACGTCCCGAGCTCATCCATCCGGAAGTTGGCGTCGGCCTCGACGAACACGACGCCTTCGCCGGTGCACTCCACCACAAGCTTCCTAGTTGGCCGCAGCTCACGGAACCGACCGGCGACGGGGTAGAAGTGCACGAGCGTCTCCGAGATCGCCGCCTTGATCACCTTGACAGGGTCGAGGCCGTCCTTGGAGGGGCTGTGGCGGTAGAAGAGGATGCCGGAGCGGTTGAAGCGAAGGATGTCCTGGTCGTCGATGTCCGACAGCATCTTGAACTCGTACGGCGTCGGTTTCGCCGGCGCCACCAGCTCGCGCTCGCGCCGCCTGACGGAGAAGGCTAAGGTCGGTGCTCCGGCCATTTGCACCCTAAGTAGCTACTAAGCCACTGAGCTACGTGAGAGTACTTGTTGATTATACCAAGATTCTTTGATGTGTACTTGTAAGGTAATTGGAACATAAATTTTGCTCTATATATAGGCGTGCCACGGCGTACGAGCCGAGAGAGTCGATAGATTTTGATCTATATTCGATGTGGACAGAGAAAAAAAATAAGTTTGTAAAATGATGGTAAAAACTAGACCATTAGCCGAGAGGGTGGTGAATTCACAAATTGGCTAAACCATTAATGCACACATAACTACACGAGGAAAAAAATGGCTAAATCTAACTAATAAAGAAGATCACATTTAACGTGTAGTTAGTCGATTGAACCAATGCTTTCCAGATAAGTGACTTCGTGTCTAACAATGCGATATTACAGTACGACGATGAGTTTTCACTGGCAGTTCCTATAGGCTTCTAGCATCGTCCTGGATTGAATTAAGCTTCGGCCGCATGCGTTCGGTAGATATATATATATATATATATAATAGTTCTGATTCCCCGATGTAACCATCAAGCCATCGAATTAGTGTTTTTTTGTCGGTGTGAATTCATGTCGCGTTCATTCTGACTGTCCAAAGAAATCATTGTATGTCTGTGTCGCTTGATCATTTTCAAATGTGGCTCCAAACGAATCTGTAGGGCACACCGAATTTATACCGTCTGGTGTCATTTGTGTCTACCACATACTTTTGTATGAGTGGGATACATACACGCATAAATAGCCAATCAAAGCACATGTACAAAAAGTGATTTTGGGGCTAAAGTCCTATTTATTTTCCTCCATCTATTTCCTACCACCTTCATAAAAATTTATCCAAAATCATAAACCATGCCATTTACATTTCCTTTCCTTCCTATTTGAGTGCTTCAATATAAATTTCCAATTCTCTTTAGTATCCTGGAAACCCTATTTGAATTCTTTGTCAACATCCAAAGAGTCCAAAAACAAACTCCCTTAGTTTTCATCTCCTTGAAATCCTATTTAATTTTCTTTGCCAAAGTTCAAAAGTCCACAACTATTTCTTTTTAATTTTCATCTCCTTTGAATCCTATTCAAATTTATCCATACAAAATTCCTAGAAGTTACCATTCTTTCGGGCTGAAATCCCCATCTTTTGGCCCATCCTTCTTTTCCTCTCCCTCCACCCTTTCTACTTCTCGGGCTGGCAGCCCAACGGCGCAACACGGCCCAACTGAGCCGAGCCGCCACCTTCCTTTTCCCTATGGGCACGCGTACGCGCCGCCGCCGTCACCGCCCACGGCCTGCACCGCCACCCGCCGTCCTCCACTGCCGTGCACTGATTTGCGCCACCGTCGTCGCCGTGCCATGCTCCTCCTCCGTCGCCGCCCAACCTTACCACAGTCATCACATACACGCGCCTCCATTGCCGACCAATCACAGGAAGAAGCCTGTGCCGTTGTCCTCCTCTCCACGCCACTGCCACCGTATTCTCCTTCTCCTTCTCCTTTGCAACCGCCTCCAATCACCGCCTCTCGCCGCCTATAAATAGACGACGAGTGTCACGCCCAGAAATTCACTAACCCAAATTTCAAGCAGAATGTGTATTAAATCTCTATCCAGGACCAGCCAGAGTACACAAATGACAATTTGATACAGTTCCACCTCTTACAAAAATAACAAAAATAAAACTCATGCGCAACGAAAAATAAAATAAACTAGACTTAATCTTCACAACCAAAGCGAAGCTTCCTCCATAAACCACAAGAAATCATCGACGTCTGGAACAAGCTCAATCCTTAAAGAACTCACCATCTGAACCAACCTCTGCTTCTGGGGTGGGGGAAAAATAAAGTAAGACCGAGTACCAACCACCGTACTCAACAAGTCATACCAACAGGAAGGTATGATGCAAGGTACTCTCAAAGGAATGGCTCATTGGATAATTTGCAGTAAAAACAGCATTATATAAATCATATTTTGAAGAAGTAAAAACAATATATAATTAAGCAATACTAAATCATCACTGTCCAACGCTAAAACCATGTTGAAACAGGCCCAACCAAACCACATGAACTACACCAGTTCTATAAGTCATATTATTATAGTGAGACTAATCACGGTGAGCTGGTTGACCGCCGAATAACCGCGGGCACAGCTATTCGAATAGTTTTAACTCTGATCAGAGGTGTACAACTTTACCCACAAGACACGATTCCACACATGTTACCATATCCCGAAGCACCACCGAGATACTGCAAAAGGGGAAATCGTGACAAAAACCTTGTGCCAAGTCAAACAGTCCCCTCTCTTGCCTAGGTAAATCCGGCTACAACAGAGACCAATATATAGATCCGAACTGCACCATCGCCTCTACCCTTGCCATGCTATGTCAGCTAGCTTAAGTTATACTCTAGATTTAGCCTAGTGCCCATCTAGCCTGTGGTGAGTATGAGTACATCTTCCAGGGATTCTTGAGAACCGGTCCTTAATTATGATGAACCCTGAGTTCCACTCGACACTCAAGGCTGTTGTTGGCCCGATCTTTCAGTGAGTTGAGATAACTATGATTTGGGAGAAACGTTGACAATCCGACTACAACCGTACGAGACGTTGTGCTGCGCCTTAGCGATCGATACACCTTTCCGTGGGTTGTTGATATTGCCGGTGCAGATCAACCCTATTCCTGCAAGCAAATCGAAGAAACAAGCAAGAACAAGATAAAAGCAATCTGATATTGCAAATAGGAATTTAATACAAATGATAAGTTGGGGTTTCGAATACAAGCAGACGGGCGGTCTAGCCGGCACGCGCGCTGCAAGCAAGTAGCAATGGCTAAACTTTAATCTATCAAAACCCAAGAAACCCTGAAGGGGTACCTACCTATTTATAGGGGTGGGAGGACGACCAAGGGGTGCCAAGAGTCGTTCTCCACCTGGTTGGGGCGCACCCCACATGGGCCCCACTTGGGCCGGGGTCCCAGACGAAGTTACAAGCCCATAGGCCCATTACAGGTGACGCAGCACCTTGTTGCTTCAAATGCGGCTCACTAAGATGGAATTTCTCAATTAGGCTGGATCTGTTGGAAAGAGGACTCCGAGAGCTTTCCATCAAGTACTCACGGGCCGAAAACGGAGCTCGTATGGAGATTTGGCGGCCGTTTGAAATCAGCAGTGCAGCAGGTGGCCGAATCGGATTCCAGCACTTGGAGGCCTTGACCTTGATGTCTACTTGTTCATCCATGATATGAGCAATGATTGTATCCGTAGTAGCTATGGTCACATGAAATTGTCAAGGGCATGACTTCCAAAATCATGCATGTACCCACAACCCACCATTAAAGCATATTTTAGTTTTATTAAACCATAACCATGGTGCTACATCATAATATAATTAAGGACTAAATTATAATGAGTCCCATTGTGAGCTAATTGATCTAAGCATGGCTAAGCATTCCTAAACCAATCATCTAACTCAAGTTATCAATGGCATAAGATATTCAATAGACTGAGTACGATAGGCATCCATCCCACATGACATTCTAAAACAATGCCATTTGATAGAAAGCAAGGGATTTTGTAAAATTGGCTCAATATGATCAATGATGTATGCGTGACTTGCCTTGCTCTTGAGCTGACTGAACCTCGGCAATCACTTCGAAGTAAACTGGATCACTGGAACTGATGGAATCTAAACGACAAACAAAGCACACAAGAAATACAAGCAATAAGGCTACTAAAACAGAAAAAGAAACAAATTTTAATGGATTCTGTTCATTTTAACGGATTCACTGCAATTTGAATGGGTTAAAACGGAGCTCAAATTATTAGTTATGAATTTTACAAGATGAGCTGTGTTATTACTAATAATCGAAAAACCTTAGTCATTTATTACATATTATTGCCCATAGATAAAAAGATCAATGAAAATAAACCTCCGGTAAGCAAGCCTCACGAATTAACGACTCAACGAGCCAATCCTTCGTGACACGGGACTATCCAAACGGTCAACCGAACCGGCGAACAAAGCGGCGGCTCAGAACAACAACCGAAAACTAAACATGGTTTATGGCAAAGACTCGGTACGGCAAACGATAGGCCAGTAGGAATTTAGCGATGCACCTATGGCTTTGCAACATGGCTACCAAGATACGACACAGCGGCAAACCACGACGACGATGCGGGAGAGCAGCGGTGGTGGTGGCTCGGCGGCGGCGGCAGCGGCTTGGCGGTGATGGCACGGCTCGGCCGGGGTGGCTCGGCTAGGGCGGTTGCGGCGGCACGGCAGTGGCGGCGGTGACGCACACGTGCACGTCTAGGGTTAGGGCTAACGCTAGATTTCCACGCCAACAAACTATTTAAGGATGGAACGAAAAGGATTCCTCACTAGGAGAACAACAGCAACGGCGAGGATGGAACGACGACGATGACGACGGCGTCTAGAGGGAACCTAAAATGGAGTAGATTAACTGGTTGGAAAGATGTGTATGGTCAAAACCACACCACTGGGATCGGAGGGGAGCTCACCGGTGACGCGAAGGCGACGGCGGCGGCAGCTAGCGGCGACGGCTAGGGCGACGGCGGCGGCTAGGGCTCCAACAAAATAGAAAATAGGAAAAACAGGGGGTATGATGGCTTATATAGGGGTGAAATAAAATAGGTGGGGCCAGAGAGGAGTCGGCAGAGGGGAAGAGGGAGAGGGAGTCGGACTCGGACTTGGGGAGGGGGAGGGCGCGCGGCAAGAGGGAGAGGGGCGGCGGCAAGCCGAGAGGGAGAGGGAGAGGGGGAGGAGAAATAGGGATAGGGAGATTAGTATTAGGACCTTCCTAAATTGGAAAATAAATGTGGTGCCGTTTTAGGAAAAGAACGGAAACGGAACCCGCGAACTAAAACGGTCACGGCTCGTCATGCAAAACGAAACCGCGGACAGAGAGGGGAGTGAATCAGGCACGATTCACGACCAAAGGTGGAGGACAAAGATTATTATTATTAATTCAAATCTTGACAAATAAAATTAACAACATTAACTCCGATGCTCCGAATATTCCGCTTTAAGTCCTGTTAGTGATTTTAG